ATAGTATATGTAAATCATCAGTTGAGACACCAAACCTCTGAGCCTTCAGTACTTTTTGCAATATAGATATGTATGTTGTTCAGATTGTATTTATTCTTGTCTTAAGTTTTTCATTGATTTCTATTCCTAATTCTTGAATGTCAGAAATTAATTTTAATAACAGTAGTTCTATAATAGCTTCTCTCTTTACAGGCTTTGCATCATAAATTCCAAAAACATACTTTTTCATAAACATTAATTAATTTTTCGTTAGACCTCTACCTTGTCACCATTTTAAAATATTAGGTGCATACCAGAATTATGTACTGTACAATGGCATTTAGCCATAACTTGTAACCAGTGAGTTCTGAATAAAACTTTTTATGTCACTTTTAAACATAATCCTCCTCTTTTTCAAAACACACTTGGCATCTCTTTAACCACTTTTCAAAGCACTGTGTGTACGCGTCTTCTGGAGTTCTTTGGACCACAGGAAAACTGCAATACCAAGAACAGATCTTGATGAATAATGCATACCACAGAGTGAATCCTTCAGGTTTGTAGACAGGCTTAAGTTGCTTGAAGCCAGATCTGATGAGTATAGAGGATGCAGAAAGAATTTGATGGCCTTTTCTATCAGAAAATCTCTGATGACTTGAGCTCTGTGATTGCAGGCATAAAATGTTTGTCCAGCATATCTCTTGCATACTGATCAGTAATTGTGTCACAGTTTTCAGAAGTAGCAGGTGGCAAGGCAACCAGAATGTGACTCATCTTTGGTAGAGTTTCTTTTACCTGAAAATTTTCAAGTTCACTTGTGAACTCTGCAGTCAGCAAAAACAGACTCGCCACAGCATCCATTAATTGCTAGTGAAAATCTACCAATTTTCACCACAAACAAAAAAAATTTGATGACAGCCCACTGCTCATGAACTAAAACTCCATGCTTTTGGAAACAAGTTCACAAGAAATGTAAATTACTTAGCATCTGCTGCTGGCACACTAATGGAACTTCACAAGTGACTGGTGAAGGCTTGTTCAAATTTGTCCCAAGAGGACCATCCTACATAATTTGCTGCAACCGCACTAGAGAGAAACAGTACCTAATTCTGGTATGCACCATGTACACAACTGAATGCAAAAATTAAACATTTTTTAACTCAGACTTTATTCAATTTTGTTGATCATCTAAATTGAATTATTGGTTTATATGTTCAATTTGTGATCAAGTCAATTGAATTTGACTGAGTTGATTGGCTAACTATACTTGTGAAAGTGCATCTTTAGGGCTGATACTTTATAAAGCTTGAATGTTGTTATTCAATTTATGTTGATAATCTGTTATGCGAATGCTATAGCAAAT